AGGCGGGCTCCAAGTTCGCTCCTCCGCTCGACGTCTCGCGCTCCGTCTCTTTCGTCTCTCTCTCTCTTTCGTCTCCGCGATTTCCGATGCGTCCGCGGAAACTGCGGAGAGCGCGCGCGAGAGCTCCACTCCAATCAGATATCATCCCGGCTCTCTCGCGGGCTGGCATCAGCGGCCAATATCGCATTTACGGGATTGCCGCTCGTGGCTTTTTGGCATAAAGGCGCTCCGCGCTCCGCGCGCGCTTACTTCCGCGGGTAACCGAGGCGAGGGCGATCGCCGACCAGCGTTTTAACGACCCTTTCCCTAAGTATCGAGACGTCGCGATGAATCGCGTGAAGGTATCCCCCCTTGTAATTTAACAGACACGCCGCATCCCCGCGGGATTGTGAAATGCACGAAACTGCGCGCTTATCAAGCGGTTATTGAAAACGTTATGGGCGCGAATAAACGTCGGACGTGATATTTTTATTCGTTAACGTTGTATGCCATGCTGGACCACGATTATTGGAGTGGCTCTTAAGATTTCAGACTTTAGTTCATTGTTGATCGGTTCAGTTTAGTTTTATCAAATTGTTAGAGAGACGTGGCAGGAAAAGAGAGCGGCGGTAGTTCGTTCGTCGAAGAAGCAGGACGAGTAACGTTGCGTTTAATCCCGTATCGTTAACGGGGCCCTTTAAATATTAATTAACTCGTTGGAATTAAATTGAATCCATTAATTAGAAACACGGAATTTTCAAGAATAACGTCCCGCTGTTTCCTTAACACGCGCGACCGTCAATCGCCAAAATCAATTATCTCTCGATCAATTTTTTATCGACGCCGAAGACGCCCGAGTCCAATAACGAAGTTTACGATCGCGAATAAAGGACTCGCCGATTAGTCAAAAATACGCGTTAACAATCCACACTTGATTATAACTTGATTAACATAAATTAACGTCCGTTCTCCTCATCGTAAGCAAAATATATTAACACGAAATAACGATGCTCCGCTGCGGCGCATTACGCGATATCTAAATACTTTGAACGCGTGGCCTAATTGCGCGATAATTTCGTTTTAACGAATGGAAATTACGCGGCGCGTGCACACATCGGTACGAGGTCTTTACACAAATGAGTGATAATTACGGGCTCGGCTCATTTATAATAGCTAAATAGAGTCGGATTATCTCCGTTGAAGCGCAAAAGATTCGATCGATCCGTTGCGTGCGCGACGGGAAAGCTAACGCTACGTCCACCTGTCGCCAAGTTGCGGAAATAAGTCGAGAGGGATCCGGTCCGGTCGGTAAAGGCGAGTCGGTATTTTACCCGCGGTGCTTTACCATCGGCGAGGCGCTGTTATCGATTAAGTACCGCGTCTGGGATAAACCGTCGATAATTTTACATGTCCGGGGTCGATGATCGGCAATGTCGAGTTTCGCCAATTATCGACGTCACACTTTAATAAATCCGGGGGGGTGGGCGTTATCGATTAGGATCGCCATATTGGCACGCCGACTCCGTTTCGATATTCGCGGCCAAAAAAATTCACGGCACACGCTATGGATTTTCAGCGCCGCGATGAGCCCCGAGACGCGTAGCTTCTCTATAGCCGCGAAGGATACACGTAGATTACGCCGCAATTGGAACATGATTGAGATTACGAGCGAAACGATGGAATGGGCAGAAAGCCGCGAGAAAATGTATCGCGTCATCTTGAGGAATGTATCGCATTGCCGTGCGATTGCGGGGGACGGGTGGAGCGTTGGGCTCTGTCGAATTGTCTGACGGAGCGTGGTGCGTCGATGCTACGATCGCACGAAGCTCGCTTGAGGGACTCCCGCGTCCGCGTGCGTAATTGATGGGATTACAGAGTAAAAAATGTATGTTACAGGTACCTTGCGACGGTTGTACATCGAATGCGGCTGATCCAAGTGGTAATCCAATTGAGGGTAATCCAATGGGCACAATACACAATACACAATACACAACACTGAACACACAACTAACAGGCAACACTTTAACACATCACTCGCGAGACGGACAAATACTCCGAGATCGGCGCGTATTAAAGCCCGAGCGCGTTAACTTTGT